ATTTGTCGTAAAAGCCACGTAAAAGTTACTTGTAAGTTACGATGAATGCTCTCTCTCCTCGTTCTTTTGTCGTAACATTACTTATGTGTTACGACGAAGACTTTTCCATGTAATTTTACGTGGGGTTTACGACGAAACGTGGGGTTTAAGACGAATCTTGGTTTCGTCGTAAAACACATGTAACATACACGTAAGTTTACGAGGAATACTTTTCGTCGTAAATGTTCGTTGTTATGGAAACGTTTTCTTGTAGTGTTTAAACGATTAAAATGAAATGTGGAACCAAGTGATTGGTTCCTTGTCTAATTCGGTTAAGATATTTTCTTCTTTATGTACTTGTTGAACAAAAACTCAAATTGCCTTCTTAAGATCCTTGGTCTTTAATATAATCATTGGTTTGGTTGAGAAGCTAAGTGGATTTTCATTTCTTTAAGACCAGCTCCGGCTCATCTTGTTCAATCTCCCACTCTATACTCGACCCGCGTCTCGTCATGGGCATTCTTAATAGAATCGTCAAATTCATCTTGGTCTCTCATGGTTTCTTGGCCTGTAGAGAAATTCAATCTTCACAAAATTTGAGACTTGAAACCTTGCTGTTATCTAGCACTTGACCAGTAACTCCATTTATTTTTGGCTCATTTTTTGTAAGCCTATTGGGCCAAAGTCTTGTCTCATCCTTAGTTGTTTCTGCAAGATTAGACTTTCATGTTTCAACAAAGCCTTTGAAGAATGTACACGAATCATGTTTGTTCCCTTTCAGTATTGTTCTCTACCTATTCACTCTTGTTCAAACCACTTCTGGTCAACTTGCCTGACTCCAGGTCGCCTTTTTGTAGAATCGAGATACAGCAAAAAACATAAGGCACAAATTATTTTGAAAAACACTTATCTCTTATTAGAAATCTTTGATTCAATCTCTTACAGACTTGCTTGATCCGAATTACACGACTAGACACTGATCGATTATTAACACACCCAACTTGCTTGATTCAACACCTATTGATCAAATCTACCAATCCACTCAGCTATGAAACCTCAAAACCCTTTGTGTTTCCCTCTGAGAATTACAACGGCAAAAACCCTAATCCCCAATTAGGTAAAAGCCAAGATATATATTAAATAATCTTTTTCTACTATCTAATATATTATTTTCCTATATTTTAGTATCATAAATCTTCTAATTTCGTCAGCCAAACATATGGAAATATTCCACATCATCGCATCTTGATGTTTCCTTTTTATTCTCTGAAGCATGTGTAACACATTGCTCTCCATGTGTAACACATATACACAAACCAAAACTCCACCACTGCAGCAATTTCTCAAGCTCCAAGTTCTTAAGCTTACATTCTCCCCCTTTTTCATTGAGTTTTACAACTCAAGCTCATTAACCTCTAAGCATAATGTTCATCATACATCTCATCAAAATAATTTCCAAACTCCCCCTGAAATCAAGTATCATCTCCCTCTGCTTGAGTGAAAAACTCTGTGAATACTTCATGATACTTGTTAGACCATCAAAACTCTCAATACTTCCTAGTCCATCAAACTAGTTCTTCAAGCTCAGTAAATTGATCATCCATTCGAGTGTATGACACACTGGTATGCTCGTGTGACACACATTTCGTAAAGTTATGATACGTATCCTTCTTAGCTATCCATACATGTCCATACCTTATGGGTTCCACATAACAAAGATTCATCCTCCAAGCTCTCTCAGTCTGGTTTCTCCGAGAATAACAGAAAGCAACTTTATGACCATGATTCCCACAAAACAAACATCCATTCCTTCGAGTTATTGCAGGTTCTGGAGGGTGTACTTTTGTCTGAGCCATATGTTCTTTTTCCACATGTGCAGATGTATGTGCTTTCTCAACGTCCGAGCTACTTTCAGGGTGAGATGTAGTACATTTTCAAACTTGATAACATTGACTGGACTACCTTAATTTTTTGGAGAAGCACCCATGTAACATAAACCCCAGTTTACCTTTGAAGATTGTCCAAGTGATAAAATATGATCTAAAGTTTCAGATCCTTTATTCAACATCCTTAACTTTTTTGTAATTTTCACTGAGTTCTCTTTGCAGTAGCTGACTTTTCTCGAGTTCCTCGGTCAGTAGTTGTTTTGTCTGCTCATATTTAGTCTGCACACTCTTTAGATTGTAGGCTTGCTCAGGGATTGTCTTCTGTAGACTTTGTAGATGAGACTTCTTCTCTTTTTTTGACATCCCAATCTCTGATTTATTGTTTTTTTTTCAGACTCTAGAATGTTCCCTTGTGCTTCCAGACTTGCTTTATCTTTGATCAGCTGCATATTTTCTTCACTGAATCTAGCAAATTGACCAAAGAGAACCTGATACTTAGCAAAAAAATCTCATTTAAATCACTTTCTGTATCACTGTTTGACGCATCAGAATTGTTGTGTGACACACACGACACACAAATTAGTTATGCCTTTCTCTGACCCTATAACTCCATGGAGAGCCAAAAAATAGAGAGCATCTTCCTTTTCTTCTGACTTTTATCACTGCAACTTCTCTTCATCTTCATCTTCTTCGTGTTCATACAATCTGATTTTATGTGCCCATAACCATTACATCCATTACACTTGGATTTCCTTCTCTTGTATGATGGACAATATGTTTTGACATGTCCAAAACCATGACAACTAAAACACATCACTTCCTGTTTTTTATGTCTTTCTTCTTCTTCAGGTAATCTGTTATTGGACATCTTATACAAAAGATTCATGGTTTCTTCAAGCTTCAGGTAGTCTGTGTTGGACATCTTATACAAAAGATTCATGGTTTCTTCAAGCTTCTGAATCATGAAGTCAATAGATACTTCAAGTTTTTGAGCTCTTTGGATGTCTTCACTGTCAACTGAAATTCTTGAATTTTGAACAAGCTTTGACAGCTTAGATTCTAATTTCATCTCCTCAACCTTTAAAATCTCTACTACCTCATTGAACTTCAGTTCATCAGTGTTCTTCGTCAAAGTTATCACTGCTTTATGTGCTGCAAACTTAGTAGGTAAACATCGCAATAGTTTCTTCACTAATTTTGCATCTTCATAATATTTACCTAAAACTTGTGCTTCGTTGGCTATGGAGCTGAGCTTGGACTGAAGTCTCCTATCTTCTCATCATCAGTCATCCTTATATTTTCAAATCTTATGCTCCTAACATTTGCAGTATCCTCAGAGGCGTTTTGTAGTATATCCCAAGCCTCTTTAGCTAATTCACATCCTTGTATTAACTCAAATTGCTTACCATCTACAAAACCGAATATTGTATCCAATGCTTTCGCATTAAATTATGAAAGCTTTTTCTCTGTTGCAGTCCACTTTGTCTTTGGTTTAGGTATCTTCAAACCATTTTCTAACATCACATATGGTTCTTCTCATCCAGATTGAACAACTATCTAGATATCTTCATCAGTTCCACATAAGTTTGCTCTCATATTCACTTCCCAATATCCATAATTCACATCATTCAGCAGCAACATATCATGTGCAAAAATCGCCATATTCTCTTTTCAGGATCCCACCTTGGTTCGACGAATTCTTCTTTGTTTAGGGGTCTTGCTCTGAATCGAGGTACATCAAAAAAACACAAGACATAAAGTAATTCCAAAAACACTTCTCTTATTAGAAATCTTTTACACAATCTCTTACAGACTTGCTTGATCCGAATTACACGACTCGATGCGGATCGATTTCAAACATACCCAACTTGCTTGATTCAACACCTATTGATCAAGTCTACCAACCCACTCAGCTATAAAACTCCAAAACTCTTTGTGTTTCCCTCTGAGAATTACATAGACAAAAACTCTAATCCCCAATTAGGTAAAAACCAAGATATGTATTAAATATTTTTTTCCTATTATCTAATATATTATTTTCTTGTATTTTAGTATTATAAATCATCTAATTATGTCAACCAAACATATGAAAATATTCCACATCATCGCATCTTGATGTTTCCTTTTTATTCTCTAATCCGTGTGTACACATTTTTTTACATGTGCAACATATTTACATAAATAAAAACTCTACCACTACAACAACTTCTCAAGATCCAAGTTCTTGAACTTACACTTTTGGCCAGTCTCATCTTGGTCAAGATCTTGCCGATGATCAATCCTTTCATTTTCATGACCACACACTTTCATAGTCTAAGAATGTCTTATAATAAATAACCTAGTTTTATTTTGTATGTTTATTTTTGTACTCGTCGACATTTACTTAGAATAGATAAAACTTACAAATAAGTTATGATCAAATTTATCATCCTTACTTTCATATACCAAATACAAATTCATCAGCAATGAGGACAACACAAAATATGTGCAGAAACTCTATGAAAAATCATCAATCTATCTTATGCTTTACATATGTTATATATTTCCTCAAGTTCAGTAGGGCTGATATAACCACTTAATCATTAACAAATCAGAAGCAAGATATTTGTTAAAACACTTTCTATCATCAACGCTCTAACTCTATTTATCTCACCCTTAAAAAGTTCAAACCCATCTCAATCCTTCAATTAGGAAACTTCATTCCAGATCAACGAAGTAATCTATAAAGGAGGAAATTTTACACTCATCTTAAGAGTCAAGCTAAAGCCTCATTTAATTAGAAATCCCCAAACAAAAAAATGGAATATAAGCTCTTTCAAAGAAATATCAGCGCAAAAAGAAACATCTACAACCTAGAAAGTAAATTCGAACCAAGTTGAAACAAAAAAGATCTGCTTAACGCAGAAAACAAGATCCGCTTTTTTGTCGATTTTTTTTTAAAAATGAAACTGATGGAGACAGAAACAACAAGAGATAATCTGTCTCTACACAATCTTCAAACCCTAAACCGCTAACTAAAAACCAACCATTTGTTATGTTCCCACTTGCCCTTCCCTTGGAGGCTTTATAAGGCTCAAAGTTTTATGTTGGTGGGAAGTCAAAGAATCATCTGCTTTTCAATTATGAATCTTGCGTTTAGCGCCTTCTGTTCCCACCTCTGCTTAGGTATCGGCGGTTGCTCATCAAGTAACTGCGAAGTCCCCTGCTGGAGATGGCTGGGGCCAAACGCGGTTGAAGACGTCTCATGTCAAATCCTTCTAGCGATCCCAGATCGAAGTACCCACTTTCCATCAAATCATCCGACTCAAGGTCATCATCATAGTCATCGTCGTAAGGCTCGATAACATAGTCCCCAAAAACCATAGCTCCGGGTGTTGACGACATTACTGAGCTAATTACATCGCTCCTCTCCCTCTCAACTTCAAGCTTCTTCCATTTCTCCTCCATCACAGGATCAATTGCTCTTGGTTTAGCTCTCGGGTGAACTGCCTTTACATGTTTCTTGAGCTGTCTATAGCTCCCGGAAAACAAACAGTTGTCTTTCATGCATGTCCTTTTCTTTGAATTCAGATACTTCCGCGCATCTTTCACAACCGTCCAACCTTTCACCTGACCCCTACAGAGAGGGCACATAAGCTCTAGCAAATTGATTCTTTTCACATCTTTCGCATATGCCTTTTTATACTGCTCTAGACAATTTGAGAAGCGGTTTCCTGTGGCACACATGTAAGGACGGCAACCTTTGTGGTAAGATGAGCAAAGGAGGACGACTGAATTGTGAGGGATCTCAAGACAGACAGGGCATGTGACACCCTTCCAAGAATTTCCTTTATGAGCCTTCCTTTGCCGCTTCTCTTAGTTTTCATTGCTAGTAGCCTTTTTAATATTCTTAAGAGCGTGCGGGTCTTCTCCAGACCCATAATGGACTCCATCCGCATTAACTCTCCCCATCTGCCAACTAAATCTAAAAAATTAAAGAAAATCAGGTATACCATGAAATATAATTGAGAATACACTTCACAAAACCATTTCAGAGCAACCAACAACTCTTAAAACAAAATAACATGTACATAGTCAATTTTTCTGAAATGATTCAATGATACTGCAGTAGTCTCACAACCCGAAATTTTAAAACTTCACATTGTAATGATTATACCAAAACAAGCAGAAACTAATCCACGACAATAACATGATTAAAGAAGTACAAGAATGCTTTTACAAATATATATCCATGAGATCTTGTGAATGTATAACAAGTAGAACACTAAGCTGAAAACAAACAGAATACTATAAAGCACAATTCGTATAACCCTAATACAGATAATATCAAATCAAAGGCGATTAAAGTCGTTTCGGATTCAGCAGAAACAGATCAAAAGCATAAGGGAGAACTAGCTTACCCGGAGAATCTGAGCGACGGATTCCGCGGAAGAAGTAAACTTCTATTTACAGGGATTGCGGAGGAGACGCCCTAAGCGGCGATCTCAACGGAGGCGATAGTGTTAAATCTGACGCCGAGAGATTTCAATGTTTATAAGGTCACATTTTTCAGGCCTTGTTTGGTGCTCTATGAAATGTTGTAGGCCCATTTATTCTTTCTATGGCTCAGTATGCCGCATATGTCTTTATCTTATGTAAATGTGAATTGGTTTATCTCCTCTATTAAAATATACTAGGGTAAACTCGCCCTACGGGCGGGCGAATATACAAATTTACTTGAAAATGTTTAGTTTATTTTGAGTAAAATGCATTCATTTTCATAATATTTCACAATAATTATAACTTAATTTTACTATTAATTTTAGATATTATATCATTATCTACTTATTATATAATTATATATAGAACTATATTTTGCGTAGAATTTATAAAAATTTTGTATATATATAATTAAATAAGTTAGGATTGGTTCGCGCTACGCGCAAGATGTTTACTTTGGTGGTGTTGAGGCAAAACTTTTGTGTGGGTTAAGTTGTTGAATAATTTGTTTGTATGAATTTTTTTTTTGTAACAGATGATACTATATATCCTGCGATTTTAGCTTATCATTGTCCTTTTGAGATTGGATGCTCGGTGCACTTTAAATTTTTTGTCCAGCAACTGTTTATGTTTGATTGAATTTGTTAATTGGTTTGGTGAAAGTTATATTTGTTAGTTCTTTTGTTGATTATATGTTAGCATGTTTTCTTTTCCTTTTTTTTTTACACGGTGAATTATTGAAAATCATGTGACAATTGTGACTTTGTGTTATTAGCTTGAAGTTACATTTTGGATATATGATTTTTATAGTAGGTAATTCGAATTCATTAATAATAGAGGTGACAGTGAACACAAACTTTTAACTTGAATTTTATGTACTTCATATATTTATTGTTTGATTACTTTTAAGCAAATCAACCAATTCTTTCTCCTGCATGTTATAGATGGAACATGTTGACAGACTTACCTATGGACTTATGTTGGTTTCATACCCGATAAAATATTGATTTCACTTCGGTTCTGTTTGGTTATAGTGTTTTTGGTAATTTCAAAAATTCAGGTAAAAAACAATATTTAGTTATTTTGGATTTAATATCGGGTGAATCAAATAATTTAAATATTTTGGATATAAATTATTTTAATAATTCAATTCTTTTGGGTAACTGAAATAATTTAAAAACATTTCTGATAAAAAAACATTTTGGTCTTTCGTTTGTTTTGTGTATTTCAGTTAATAAATAGTGTTTGAAAAATATTTGGTAATTTTCAATCTAGTTATAGTTAATAATTCTAGGTATATAAACTATACTTTAAATATTCGGAATCTCATTCATTTTTTTGTTCCAATTTTTTATTATTATACACATATTTGAACAGTTTGGTGTTATCAAATTTGTTTTGGTTTAGTTTTATTTAGGTAACAATGTTAGGAAGGGACTAATATCCGATAAAATATTGGTTCCAACTTGGTTTCTGGTTTTCGGATAATTTCTGATATTTCAGATAATAAATGAGTTTTAGTTATTTTAGATAAAATATTGAGTAATTCAGGTAAATTTGGATATAAATTATTAGGGTAAATCGGTTATTTCGGTAATTTGGATGATTTAAAAGAATTTGGATAATAAATATCAGAATAATTATTTTCCAGGTAATGAGTGTAAATAGTGTTTTAAAATATTTGGTAATTTTCTCAGTTCGGATTCGGTTTAGGTTTTCCGATTCCATAGGTTCACGAACCGTTTGGTTATTTCTGAAATCAATTTGAATATGGATTCAGTTTTTTTTCTTATGTTTCGGTTTTGTTCCCGTTTTATATGCCTAGTATAATGTACTTTTTTCAATAAATTGGAGTGGAGGTTCACTTTGACATAACTAAAAGGATAATTACTGTTCAATTTGTTTTGTGGAATCTCATGTGTAAACATTTTACACTATTTTTATATTATTCTTTTAAAAATATATAATGATTTTTAATGTGATGTCTAGAGTTGTGATGCAAAAAACCAATTCTTTGTATTCATCTGCCTCTCGTCATGTCACTCATCCACCAATTTTGTTTATTTAATATCTATTACCTTGTTGGAATCTTCTAAATTTTGGATCATACATTTTGATCGCTTGATTTCCAATTCAAGTTAGACATTTTTCCTTGAGCTCAATTAAAATTAACATGGATTTTCTATTTTTATTAGTTTTGTTAGAGACCATAATTTTTATTAGCATGTAAATATTTTCACTACCGTAATTGTTATACTGTTTCTTAAATGTTTGCTCAAATTATATATATATAGAGAGAGGGAAAACGGAGTATGATTTTTATTATTTCAGCTAGGTTAAATTCTCAATAACATTGACTTGCTTCTTTTTTGTACGTACTTCTGAATTTATTGATTGTTTATTTCTTTTTCTTCCAGAATCACTAATTTAAACAATCCAATAAGTTAATGTATAATTCACTGTTAAAGATAAGTTTGGTAAATAGAATGATACCATATATTAATTATTAGTATTCAGATAAACATATTACTCAATTTTAAGTCAACTAAATACAAATGTGTAAATTCGTAAAGATATAACCACTAAGTAACAAAATATTACAAACACTTTCCTGAGATCCAAAAATGTTCTAACAAAAGAAGGAAGGAATGTGTGTATTGCAAAATGTGTAAGTTTTATATATAAAGTGAAATCTCCTGGCATTAGTATTATTGGTCAAGTGGCAGCCATTCCATTTCCAGCTCTAATACTCCAGACTCTGCATTCTGAAGCTTGATGATCTGAACCTCCTGCTACACTTTCCCATCAACAATGTTAATGATGCTGTCTTTAGCTGCACATCCCCAAATATCTCAGCATCCCCATACGCCATTGCGAATGTTATCAGAAGCTGGATATCAAGTTGAGTTTCTCCCATTATGTCATCAGCAGAGAATGTGTTATAATCATACCCCTATTGCAATTAACAGAAAAAACGAATTAAGATTTATATAACAGATTTTGTCAATAGCAAAAGTGCTTAGGATAATAGGATGACCAGTTTTACAGGACCATAGCTGTCAGGAACAGACAGCATGAGTTCTTGATTCCATACCGGGTTCAAATTACTATTCACAGCTGTTGTTTGAAGTTTCTGAACAGTCAACAAAACACGGCAATAGCTTTTAAGTTTTAATATCCCCAAAGAGTCTATAGATTCAGGTTAGTAAACGGTCACAAAGAGATACACACTTACTTGCGTCCCTAGAATCCTAGATTGAAGACAACATAAGGATCACTTGACATCATGTCTCTGATAGCTAAGCTAGTACCTTTCTTAACAGTCACATCATCAGTCCACTAAATTCTAGCATTCCTTCCTCAACCTATCAAATATATATAAATCTCATCAAGAAGATTATATCAAGAAAGAAACGGTTTTAGAAAAGAAAAAAAAAGATTGCAAGTTAGAAGCTTTACTATTTTCTTGGGTTATACATAGATAGAATGCAACATCAGTTTCAGCATGTGCATATGTTCCATGGCCATTAGCTTACTTGTAGAAGCAGGTTTCCCCTGCGCTTGTCTCCTTGTCGAAATAAAAGTACGTTTTCGAGGTGTCATATAAAAACAAACGGCTTACATAGCAACAGTTTATGAATTATTCAAAACCATTCCATCAATCAAACAATACGAATTGAGGAACCTATCTATAATCTCAAAAAAAATTAATACATCACATCAAATGCGATTGAGTCATTGATAAGTTGGTGAGGCTGAAGTTCTGAGCAGACTGAGCTACAGCAAAAGGAGATGGAGTACATGGACCCGGCAGCGAGCCTAGGCCGGTATGTTTGGAGTTGGTTATTGATTGTGGCTTGCATAATGGTGGCCTGTGAAGATGTATATAGAACATATAAGTAAATAATAAGAACACCGGAGAGTAAGAACAAAACGATTCCAAGAGCATGTCGACAACATGATCTCTCCGCCGCGCCTGACATACCTCGCCTCCAAGAAACGGAGAAGCCTGACCTCGAGAGCGGAGGAGCACAGGCCGGTCTTCAAATCGGAAAGTAAAACTCTACAGACACCCATTTCGATGATAGTAAGTAGTGATATATGACGATGTTTTCCAAAGCAAGAAGCACAGATATTTATACTCGTAGAATCACCGACCTCAGTAGCTTCAAGGAATTGATGTCGAGATCGTGGGGGTAACGGAGTTACTATCACGATTAATGGAAAGGGTCCGTAATTGGCGAAGTTTCAACCGAACGGGTAGGAAGTTGAAGAGGGAGATGAAACTACAGACAGCGAAGCGCCAGGCAGAGCAAACCCGATATGTCTTCATGTTGGCTTGTCAGATTTTGTCAAAAACCCTAGCCTTAGACGACAACGTTTGGAGCGTAAGTACTTTCACGACTGCATGCTTGGATGCAGTTGACTCAAGGCCCAGATCAATGGAATAGGCCCAACTGACCAAAGAAGAATTTGGACCAAACGCAGTGTTTCAATAGAAAAGACACGTGTCAGTCAGTGGAACAACGATTTTCTGATGTGGCATAGGCAGGAGGGAGGCAAACATTCGTTTATATATATAGATACTGTTTTTTATCTACTTATACACTAGGTGATTTTCCTGTGCTCATGCACGGATATGAATATTCATAAAAGTAAAATTTTATAATAATTGATTGTTATTTAGTTTTAGTTTTAAATAAATTATATGTATAATTTATATTAATAAATATTATATTATTCTAATTATACATATGACTTTGGATATATTATTTCGGTTTAATTTTTTTGGATCAATAATCGGTTTGGTTATCAATTTGTTATATTGGATAATATCAATTTTTAAATTTAGCTATAATATTTTTTATTCTAAATATAATAAACTTTGATTAATTTTCTTATTTTTATTTCGGTTGGTTATTGTCTTAGATATGTAAATAGATTCTTAGATATGTAAATATATTATACTTAAATTATGTATAACTTATTATAATATATTGTGCTTAAAATGAAATAAATAATAAGCTGAATTTTTTGATTCAAAATTACATAAATGAATATAATGATAATATTTCGAAGTCTCATATATATAAACTCTTCAAAGAATTAAATTGTAACTGGTTAATATTTTCTTTTTCTTTTTAATATGCTTTGAGTCAACCTCAAATTTATATGTAAAATTAAATATTATTATGATTATTATTATTATTATTATTATTATTATTATTATTATAAAATTATAAGTTCTTATTGTAGTTAGATGTTTAATTTTGGATATAAATTAGATTAGTCGAGTCATTCATTTTGTGAGTATATTGAGTTAAATATATTTTTAAATTAAAATTGAAGTATAATTACTTTTTATTTTAGTTAAGTCAAATCAAATTAGTTTTATTAATCGCTTAAATATATATATGTATTTTCATAATATTTATTTACTCTTTATTTTAGTTACGTCAAATCAAATTAATTTTATTTATCGCTTTAAATATACATATATTTTCATAATATTTATCAAAGTATATGTTGATTTCTAAACAATAATAGAAAATGAACTGTAACTGATAAATTTCTGAATGTTCATGAACATATATATTTTTATTATTTTGAAAATATATTTTATGTTATTTAAAAATATATATTAATGGTGGTATTACTATTTTGTGAACTTTCCGTTTTAATAAAGTCATATTATATACATATACTTTCGTTTTTTAAATTTGTTTTAAAATTTTAGAAATATTTCCTTTTTATTATATATGTTATTTTGAAAAAGGTAAAAAGAAAGTAAATAAAAAAATTAATAATAATCTTAAAATCTAACAATTCATTGAGGGTATCTATGTAATCAACCACTGCGAGAGTTAACGTGAGCGCGACACGTAGGAAACTGACTTCTCAAATAATATTATAGAGATTTCGTCACTTAAGTTTTGGAGATTAAATATAACCAAATAACATTTTCTATAATTTAGAGATTCAATTACACAATATATATCTTTTAAGTATCCACTTAAGTATTATATCATTTCTTAATTTATTTAACTGATTTATATTAGCTGATTGTGTGATTGTGTGTCGATCAATGCGTAGTGTACTCTGTCGATCGATGTTGAATGGAGGGTGTCGATCGATTCTTCCCGCGTAGGCTTACGGATCGTAAGCAAACCCGCGTGCTCCTTCTTTGAAGGACTCAGAAATCCTCTCTTCATTTGTTCTCTGGTACTGAGATATGTACCAGAAATAGAAGAAATGTTTTTTTTTATGAGTTTTTGTAATAAATAAAATAACCTAGACTAAATCTAACTAGATAAGATCTAATGGCGATCAAAGCTCCCCGGCAACGGCACCAAATTTAATATCACTCAAATTACCCTAAAGAGTTAATTACTCTCTCAAATAAGAGGTTCAGTTATAGTACTTAGAGATTGAATCACGAGGAGCTAGGGAACCAATTGGATCTAAACATTTATTAATAATCTAGGTAAATAAATAGTAAATAAATAATAAAGCAGGAAATAATGCAAGCAGTAACAAGATGAACAAAACTATTGTTCAGCTTGGCAAGAAGTTGTTTTATGGAATGATGGTTGCTAGATCTAGGGTTCTATTCAGGTATTGGGATTATAACCTATAGGAGCTATTCAGTTGTTTGCATGGTATAAAGAGCATTAACTATCTTTAGTAACAAATTACTTGAACTAATGCTCAAATAAATAAGTCTAATGACCGGCTGGTCGCACTTGACAGTGTCGATCGATTATTCGATAGGAACATCGACCGATACACTAACTCATCATCGATCGATTTCTGTTAAGAAGATCGATCAATGAGTCCGGTCAAGCAATACACACGAGTTAACATAAAGTCACTAAAGATTTCTAAATCGAATCATATCAATTATATTTCTAATAAAGTCTCTAATCCAACCTAAATAATCTGGGATTCAATGTTTCTAGTTAGCAAGGCTAGAACATGAGCACTAAGAACATCCTATTTATGAATACCACAACTAAGAATCTTATAGTTGGGGCTAATCCCACTAACCTATTTAAACCCTAAACCTAACAGGTGAATCTACTCTAGCATGAAGTTTGTCACATAAATCATAGCAAGAATAGATTAGATAAAATATAAACCCAAACAAAGGATCAAAGAAAAGAAGGAGTTCCAGGAGGACTCTAAAGGAGTTCCTCCCTTCTCTCCTAGAACTAAGAAAAATGAATTAAAAAAAGTGTAGCCGTCAACAATGGCTTGCAAATAACATAAATAAGATTTTTTGTCGTCCAAGGGCATTGTGGTAATTTATGGTAACTCCTGGGCCAAAATCAGTCATAAAATATACTCGGCATGCATTTTTTAATCTCCATCGATCGATACCAAGTGTGTTGCATTGATCGATTCTTCTTTTATATTCTCGACAGCTTCCTCTTGCGAGACAGACTGAACACTCTTCAGTAAAACGGGCATAACATCTGCTACATGATGCTGATTGACCTCAAACTGGTGGCATTGGAAAGCTTACACAAAGCTATATCTTGTGTCAAAATATGGGCGAAATCTAACGTTTTAATGGTCTCCATCCATAGCTAAACATCTGACACTTCTTTGCAGTCCTGTACTAAAAAGTCTCCAAAAGACATCAAAATCACTATATTTCTCTAGAACGTACATGAACCTGTAAATACTCCAAAACATAATAAATATATCTTAAAAGCACTTATATACCATGGCTAATAACGGGTAAAATCCATGGTATATCACACAGCAATGACCATCTCTACGCGATAACTAAATAAGAATAAGCATGTACCAAAGGTAACATCAATGTGTGGAGCTAGGCCGGAGTAATGTAATATTATAGGAATCCATGTAACATACTGGAGAGATCCATTGCGCTGACATTTCTTGGCCCCCAAAAAATTGTGAAGCCTGACTTCGAGAGTGGAGGAGCACTAACATGCCTTCACTTCAGAAAGAAATACTCTAGAGTTAGCCATTTCGAGAATAAGTAGTGGTGAGATAGGATGATGTTTTTAGGAGAAAGAAGCACACATATTTATACTCGTAGAGATACCCACCGTCAGTGGATTCGATAAATTGATGTTGAGATAGTGGGATAATGGAGTTACTCACACGATAAATGAGATGGATTCGTGATCAGCGTGATTTCAGCCCAACGAAAAGGAAGTCGAAGAGGGCGATAGAATCAACTAATGACGAACTGTCACTGTAACAACCCAGTCCCCAGGCGTCTGACCAGAGTTTAGCGAAAGGGTGTTACGGACACGTGTCTACTCAATTAGACAACCCTACGTGTCCCTTACTGGTCCCAGGAACCGGTGGACGCAATCTTTCAATGAACTCCGATCCACCCGTATCCATGTATTTCTACCTACAGTCCTGCGCAATTGGGGTTACTCAATGAAATGACTCTAGTCCAGCCTGTACGCATGGCACCCTAGACTACCCCATGCGAAACCAGGACCAACTAGCCACTACAATCAATATGCAACACAAAAATCATACATCAACAATTCCACAAAATATTCTAGCACCTTGATGTTCATACACCACAAAGACTCATCCGTTGCTTCACATAGACTCAATCACGCAATCAACCTATTAACTAGACTCACCAAACAACCTGGACTTAAGGACCTAAGCCGTTTACGGATATTCCTACACGTTCCGGCCTAACCTAGAAGGGGCGCCCTCTCTCGGGAAATCCGTCCCCCCCCACAGCTTCCTAAATGACTATCCGAGTTGCAGCTCGTTGGCTCCCGCACTGTCCGCCACCCCGGTCTTAATAGCCATAATTATACCACGACTCGGTTTGACTCGATCTTAAGGCGCCTATTTCTTATCCCGCATGTCCCTCCTAGGGGTCTCTTCTATGGTCGTCGTCCTTTCACGGCCTTTCACATCTCGCCCACGGGTACCTTGTGTTAGGCTACTGTCCCGTGGGCCCCTGAGGGTACCTCGTGTTAGGCTACTGTCCTGCAGGTTACACATCCTAGACTCTAGACGCCCACCCTTCTCGGTGGTCCAAACAGGACTTCAAACGAGTTCATTGA